CTGTACAAAAAATATTAAATGAATATAAAAATTCTTCAGTAAAACCACAAAAAAGGGATAATTTGATGATTTATAGTTGTGAAAAACATTTATAAAAATCATAATGATTTTTTAACATTTTTTGTAATTATAAACCATCAAATTATCCATGTTGCATTGAAGAAAAGTTTTGAAATTTGAATTTTAAAATATTTTTTACTATGATTTATACTAAGTGTGAGATACACAGCACCTATGAAATTACCTTATCATCAAATCTATAATTTACTAAAAATTGTATAGTGCAGTTTATGAATTATAATATATACAGTAGATCCCCCTATAAGACGGTAGATACGTTCCGTTCTTTATGAATCAATTTTGTAGGAATCATAGTTTACGGACTACGGCTGTTTGAAAGGTTTTCTTTCATAAAATTAATCGATTCTAGACTAATTCGACTCAACATTTCCAAAATACGTATATTTTTTTGAAAATAATCCGTATAAACTACGTTATAAACAAAAAATTGTAGGATTGCTTACCGAGTGTGTACCGTTCGACTACGCCCGTTGCTAAAGCTTGGTTTCGTCGCGGAACAGCGCATCAAACCGCGGCCGCGATTTCTGATATTATTTTTCTGCGAAAACTTCGTTGACCTTTGGAGACATCCTTAATATAAATAATTTTTATGGCCGTTAAATAAGAAATGTTTCTTTCACAAGAAATGTATAAAATTACAGTACTGGACAGACGATAGGTCGCCTAACTCGCCGTAGCGTGACGCTAGACGGCGAAAAATATATATTTAATTATAATAAAGTTACAATAAATTAAGTTAATATATAATTATATATACAGTACCTAATTTATATATAATTAATATATAATTATATGTACAGTACCTAATTTATATATAATTTATATAATACTGTCCAGACGATAGAAATCTCTCCGTAGCGTGGCGCTACGGACGGCGGGTAAGTAGTTCGGCTGCCCGATGACGTTTTACGTATTATAGGAGTTATTTTTACCGTTGTTTACGGATAATGCCACAATTTTTATAGGAATCATAACTATAGGAAACGCTTTTATAGGGGGATATACTGTACTGTTTTCTTTAGTTTCATGAAAGCATAATTAGGTAATATTTTATTTATATTAGAATTTCTTAATTTTATTTGATAAAAATTTTTTAAATATGGATTTCTTAGAAAACTAATATGTTTAAAATTTCTCAAAAATTGTATTTAATTTAGTAAGTAATGATAATTACAATTAATAATAGTTTATTAAATATTTTTTATGAGAAAAATTATAGTGTGCAGTTATTTAGCTTTGAATGAAAAGATTGTCATCATACAAAGGAGACAGCCAGATGTCCTCTCCTATTTGAACGAAACTTGGCAGACACGCAGCACTAAACACAAATAGCTCTTTGTCCAAATAATAGGACCTACTTCTCAAGCATTTCTGAAAAATGGGTTTCTAAAAAATTGAGTGTTCAGCTTATAAGTCTGAAAGTCTTATAAGAATGGCAGTGGTCAAGTGCATAAGGTTGTAAATGCTGGAACTACTTGATATAGGCTCAATTCTAGGCAACTTCAGATTTTTCTTATTTAAAAAAAAAAAAAAAATGTAACATAGTTATTTTATTTATTTAGGGTCTCAGTAGCATTATTATTATTATTATTATTATTATTATTATTATTATTATTATTCCTCACATTTAGAGCTTATAAAACAAGATTAAAAATCAACCAAATCGAAGACAAGTCTGCCCAAGAGGGATCACCATTTATTTTGCATTCCAGACTATACACATACACATTCATGGTGACAGGCCTTCCTTTGCTTAGGCTTTATGCTGCCAGATGTAAAAAAGTCCTTTAGAAAAAACACAAACATCCAATTAAAATTAAAAGGAATCAGTGACACACAGACATCTTACTTCTCATCCATCTGGCCAATGGCATCTTGCTTTATATCTACTAGAACAGGCACTGGAAAATGTAGATTTTGAAGCTGCCCCCTGGATTTGGTTAATTTAATAATAATCCCACCATCGGATGGAAAAATTCAACAAAAAGATTAAAAATCATTACATTGTTTCCTATTTAGCAAAAATGAAGTTTCTGTAGATTTAACTTTTTATGTTAAATAAAATTTTTATTTCTTCATATTTTTTTCAAATATTTTAGCTCATGGTTAAATACTCTGTCAACATAAGTGAATATGCTTGAGGCATTACTGCTCCTGTATGAAAAAAAAAACAATTCCCTGATATGAAAACAGGATTGCATAGTTGCAGCATTTTTCTTTTAATTGTTAATGTTATGGCCAATTTTCTCATGCACTTACGTTTGTTACACTTCAAATAAAACAATATCACCATATCTGAAGTTTATGTAAGGAATAAGAATAGTGATAATAATGCTAATAATATGGTAAAATAATAAAATAGCTATGTTACACATTAAAAAAAAACATAAAATAAAATAAAATAAACAAAACTTGCAAAGGATTGAATCCATATCATGTAGGCCCAGCATCTAGAACAGTGTTTCTCAACCTCTAACGAATCGTCGCCCCTTCAGTAAAACCGTTACGTAGTATCGCCCCCTTTACTTCAAAATTCTGATGCCGAGGGCCAAGGCTAACGCCAAATTCGTACTGCATTGAATAGACTAGTGACTAGTATAATGTTATTTGTTTAATTATTGTACGATATAACGAATAAAATATCTAATTATTCTTAATATAATGTTTTACTATATCGTCCAGAAAATTGTTTTTCGCCCCACAAAATATAAATTGTTACTAATCGCCCCCTCAACATAGAAAAACGCCCACATGGGGGCGATATCGCCCCCGTTGAGAAACACTG